TCTACGCCGACCAACAAGTGCTACCTTAAACCTTGTACGTCTTTAACGATGTATTCAAGTGCCCACAGGCGCTGCAGAACGGTGACAACTTCACGGCTCCTCTTGTGTCGTTCCTTCCTACCGTTGCAGTGCTGGCAAACTTCTACTTGGCTGCTCAACTCAGCTACACGGGCATCTACACGAGCGTCGCGTGACTGGCAGCGAGCGTTATCTTCTACTTTTGCTACGGCTATAAGCACTCGGCCGGTCGTACCGGCTGGAGTGCGCTGATGAGTCTACCGCGTGACTCTACTTGCGTTCTCCCATGATCTCGGACAAGAAACAAGTCCAGGAGTAGAACATTTCTTTAGTATTTAGTTGAGGGTATTGTTTTTAAAAATAAACACTAAAAACTTCGCTTTGTTTTGTACCGATGTCGACTCGTATAAGGAACGCATCACAAACCGACGCGGGTCCCGCGTCGATGTATGGGATTTTATATTTGAAGCATACTGAAACTAAGATGCGGGTCCCAGGAAAAAATAGTCCAGAGAGATTTTCGTTTAAGTTACCAAATCGTATTTTTTTTTACAGATTTGCACAATAATATTGCATTTTGCAGGAATAGCAATCATTTTTAGTTCATTTTAATTTCATTTTAATGTTGTTTAGATAATAATACTAAATTTTATTTTTAATAGCAAATGCAATATTTATTACTTTTTGAAAATACATTTTAAAATATAATGAAAAACGTTTTGGAATTTAAACCATGGCCGTGGTAATGGAAAAAATATTTTGAAAGATCTGATTGGCCGGGATGGCATTCAGACGAAAACAACCCATTAAAATTTTAATGGGTTCTTTTCGTCTGAATGCCGTCCAACAGCAAGGTTTATTTGAGTTATTCGGAACAACTCAAAATAGTCCAATTTTGGGACGTAATAATATATGCTTGGATGGCAAGCGACATTTTCATCGAAAGTTCTACAAGTTCGTTGTCGTTGAGTAATAAAATATGGCTGGAAGCCAGTATTGATGATTTGCAGTGTGATTTTTTTTGGACGAAAATTGTCGGTACTGCAATAATTGTATCAATTTACTTTACAGACAACACACAAAAAGTGTTGGCACAATTCATTTTTATTGGGACGACGCTCTTCATTACCAAATTGACGATTGCCGTCAATTTGGTAATGAAAAGTGCCGTCCTATAGGTTGAGTCCCTACCAATGGGACATGTTGTTACTATGCTTCTCCTGCGCCTGCTTCGCAACCGCAGTATCTGCTTTGTCAAAGCTGCGTGTGAAGTATTCATGTAGTAAAGTACGTTTCAAACCGTTATTATTCTTTAAAATTTAAAATAACCTCTCCAAGGTGTCACAACAACGGGGGCAATTCCAAAAAATGTGCATACGATACCAGTGCGTACAATTAACTCCTTAGTTCCCCGCATGTTGGACCGTATTACATAAGGGCATTAACCCTAGCTAACCTTTTTCGCAGCATCTATTTTATGTTGAAGGTCCAACATAAGCTATATTTAAACTTGAAAATTGTATTGGGCAAATTGAGAAGACACCTCATAGTGAAAACAAGGCGAAACTGTGGGGATAAACCAACCGGATGCACAGGCTTAGGGCCACGGGATCAGTGCATCGGGACAGAGGGCGATCACTACGAACTGGTGGCCACAAACTCCCTCATTCTTGAAAACGGCGAAGAGAGACGACAAGCAGAGCTCGGATGGTGAAGACGGCGGGGAAAGCACCCCATCCCCCCCAGGCAAGACCCCCAGCGACACCTACGGAAGCTCAGACGCAATTATGAGTTACCGGACGCTATGACGGCGGAGCCGAAGGAAACGAAGGCCTCCGCACCACGAAGACAAAAGAAACGTGCCTCCAAGACGTGAAGAAGCGTCATCGGTCCTGCAAGGGGTGTGACTATTACAAAGTTGAACCGCGTAAGCTCACAAAGTACTTCTGCCCGGAATGCTCTACTGGAAACAAACGGTACGTACATTTCGTTTGAAACAGCTTCGTGTTAGAAGTACTCACGATATTCTATTGCAGCAAATACCTGTACAATGTGGGCAGAGATGGCAGAGATACGTGCTTCCGTGTCTGGCATCTCGAATGGAACACCGGGAATGACATTCCCCGTGAGCTCGTGCGGAACCACAAGATGCGGGACCGTGCGCCGCCAACCAAGCCTGGTAAGAAGCGCCGATGCCGCCAGCGGCAGTCAGGAGACCAGCAGAGTGTTGGAAGCGATGGTAGTGGAGAGGAAGGCAAATGAGGAGCTGGTTTGTGATCAGCCGCTGTGGAAGTGCGGTTGGCGTGATCGAGTGGCTGGTTATGCAGAATGCCATCAATTGAAACAAACCGTTTTATTGGCTAAATGTGTCAACTGCATTGTTGCTGGACGCTTGCAATACCCCAGAAATAGGCTCATCAATAAACAGGACTTGCCTTATGTTCATTTCGACGACATTAGAGATGCCAAAGACTGATTTCGCCTACATATCACCTCGTAATGTTGGATATTGTGGCATTTCTCCACAAGGCGCCCTTTTCTTCACCCTTTATCCCTCGCGTACTTAAGGATGACTTATACTAATTTCTATACATTTTTATGTAAGACCTCCAACATAAGAAAAAAGATTTGATGCCGGGAACTAAGGGGTTAAGCCACCGATACGATATCGGTATACCCGTATGTACAATTAAATTGATTTGGGCCCTGTGATACAGTACTTCGTATCACAAGTATATCAATCATATTGTAAAGCAATAACTGTATTACTGCAGAGCAAAAATAATCTTATTTTCAGACAAATAACAATATTATTGAAAAACAGTAGCAATATTATTGAAGCACAATAGCAATGTTATTGGTGATACAGCTAGTGGGTCAAAAATCAGTGTTCCCGATAATGCAATTCATGGATTAACCTCTAGCTGCGGCAGCAAAAAATGAATTATTGCATTAATTAGCATTACTGCGGCGCACATCATCAACTACCTGGACGTCCCAAAGCTCCTTGTTGTAAAGCAAGCACATTACCTTTTCGAGCTTTTCCGGCTCCATCCTTTTCCTCAGGTCTGTGTAGACGAGTTTCACGGACGAGAAAAGCGCTCGCACTCGTTGGAGGTTGGTGGGATGAAAGCAACATCCTCGTATGCCGCACGCTTGGCCACCTTGCACCGCTTGAATGCCTCTTTCACAATTGAGTCACGTTGCTCTTCCACAGTATCTCCTGCTTTGTCTGCATCACGCAGTCTAAATTGAGAGCACGCCACCTTTTCAGCAGCCGTCAACGCCTCTCCCCGCTGCAACTTAACGAGGCCAGATTCTAAGTTTGGATAGTTGACGATGGCTGCGTTGGCAGCCAGTCGTGCCTTCATTGCCGGGTATCAGATGGTTGAGTAGGTTGGTGTAGCCGTTGCCCTTTTTGTAGACTTTAGCGCACGTGTTGCAACTAAAGGTGCTGTCAGTACCCTTCGAAAAGAGCAGAGCACAGACTTGCTTGTTGCTGAGAGCCATGGTTGAGCGAGGACGTGGTGTTGGTTGAGTAGACGGGGGAAGGTTGGAGTCTGGAAATGCAGGGCTACTACTAGA